GTGGTGGTGGTGGTGGGATTAATTGGGAGATTGGGATTTACATATATACACTAATACATATAAAATAAATAATAAGAACCTGCTCTATAAAAAATAAATAAAATAAAATTCAACATAAAGAAATAAATTTTTAAAAAGCACCTTGTATTTAGTTCACATTCAATAATTAATAAATTTTATTTTATAATCTGAAAAGAGAAAAATAAAAACACTTAAAAAAACAGGAAAGAAAGAAAGAAGGAGAAAGGGAGGGAGGGAGGGTGGGAGAGGGAGAAAGAAAGAAGAATGAAAGAAGAAAGAAAGAAAAAGAAAGAGAAAGAGAGGGAGGGAGGAAGGAAGGGAGGGAGAAGGAAAGAAAGGAGATAGAAAGAAACAAACAAATGAAAGAAAGAAAGAGAAAAGAAGGAAGGAAGGAAGGAAGGAAGAAAGAGAAAGAAAGAAAGAAAAAGAAAGAAAAGGAAGGAAGGAAGGGAGGAAGGAAGAAAGAAAGAAAAAAGGAAGGAAGGGAGGAAGGAAAGAAGGAAGGGAGGAAGGAAGGAAGGAAGGGAGAAGGAAAGAAAGAAGAAAGGAAGAGAGAAAGAGAGAAAGAAAGAAAGAAAGAAAGAAAGGGAGAAAGAAAGAATCCTAACTTTATACCTCAAGTAACTAGCAAACTAAGCCCAAAGTTAGCCGAAAGAAGTAAATAAAAATTAGTGAAAAAATAAATGGTGTATAGAAAGACAACAGAAAAGATAAACACAACCAAGAGTTAGTCTTTTGAAATGATAAACAAAATTGACAAACCTTTAGCTAAGCAATGAAGAGAGAAGACTCAAATAAATAAGATTATAACTAAAAGAGGAGACATTACAGCTGATACCACAGAAGTGCAAAGGATCATAAGAGACTACTATGAACAATTATATGCCAACAAATTGGATAAGTAGAAGAAAGGAAAAAGGTCCTAGAAACATATCCTACCACGACTGAATCAAAAAGAAATAGAAAATCTGAACAGATGAATAACAAGTAAGAAGATTGAATCAGTAATCCAAAACCTCCAAACAAAGAAGCCCAGGACCAGATGGCTTCACAGGTATATTGTACACTAATCCTCAAACTCTTCCCAAATATTAAAGAGTAGGGAACACTTCCAAACTTATTTTACAAGCCTAGCATTATTCTCATACCAAAGCTGGATAAGAACAATACAAGACGAAAATTACAGGCCAATATCCCTAATGAACATAGATGCCAAAAACATTATCAAAATATTAGTAAACTGAATCCAACAGCACATTAAAATTATCATAAATGATGATCGAGTGAGATTTATTCCTGTGATTCAAGGATGGTTCAACATATGCAAATCAATAAATTAGAAGTACCACATTAAACATGAATAATAAAAATATCGTTATCTCAATAGATGCAAAAAAAAGGCATTTAACAAAATTCAACATCCTTTCATTATAAAAACTCTCAACAAGTTAGGTATAGAAGGAATGTGCTTCAACACAATAAAGGCCATATATGGCAAACCCAAAGCTAACATCATACTCAGTGGTAAAAATCTGAGAGCTTTTCCTCTAAGATCAGGAACAAGACAAGGATGCCCATTCTTGTCACTTTTATTCAGCATAGTACTGGAAGTTCTAGCCAAAGCAATCAGGCAAGGAAAAAAAATAGGCATCCTAATCAGAAAGGAAGAAGTAAAATCGTCTCTATTTGCAGATAATGTGATTTTATATATAGAAAAACACTTGAGACTCTACCAAAAATCTATTAGAATAAAGAAATTCAGTAGTTGCAGGATAGAAAATGAACATAATGAAAATCAGTTGAATTTATATACACTAACAATGAACAATCCAAACAGAAATTAAGAAAATACTTCCATTTACAGTAGAATTTTTTTAAAAGAATAAAATACTTAGGAAATTTAACCAAGGTGGTGAAAGATCTACACACTGAAAACTATAAGACAGCAATGAAAGAAACTGAAGAAGATACAATCAAATACAAAGATGTCCTGTGTTTATGGGTTAGAAGAATTAACTTTGTTAAAATGCCAACATTACCCAAAGTGATCTACAGATTCAATGCAACCCCTATTAAATTCCAATGGCATTTTTCAAAGAAATAGAAAAAAAAAAACAATTCTAAAATTCAGATGAAACCACAGAAGACCTTAAATATCCAAAGCAATCTTGAGCAAGAAGAGCAAAGCTTGAGGCATCAAACTTCCTGATTTCAAACTATATTACAAAGCTATAGTAATTGAACAGTATAATAATGGCATAAAAACAGACACATATACCAAATAAACAGAAGTAAGGGCCCAGAAATAAACCCATGCATATATGGTCAACTAATCTTTGACAAAGGCACTAAGAATACACAATGAGGAAAGGACAGTCTCTTCAGTAAATGATGGTGGAAAAACTGGATATCCATATGCAAAAATATAAAATTAGACCCTTAACTTACAGCATAGACAAAAATTAACTCAAAATAAATTAAAAACTTAAATGTAATACCTGAAACCATAAAACCACTAGAAGAAAACATAACAGAAAATCTCTTTGACATTGGTCTTGGCAATGAGTTTTTTGGGTATGACACTAAAAGCATAAGTAACAAAAGCAAAAATAAACAAGTGGGGCTACATCAAGCTGAAAAACTTCTGCACAGCTAAAGAAACAATCAACAAAATAAAAATATAACCTACAGAATGGGAGAAAATATTTGCAAACCATATATCTGATAAGAGGTTAATATCCAAAATATGAAAGGAACTCATGTAACTCAATGGCAAAACAAACAAACAAACAAAAATAGCCTGGTTTAAAAAATGGGCAAAGGATCTAAACTGACATCTTTCTAAAGAAAATGTACAGGGACTTCCCTGGTGGTGCAGTGGTTAAGAATCTGCCTGCCAATGCAGGAGACACGGGTTCAATCCCTGGTCTGGGAAGATCCCACATGCCACGGAGCAACTGAGCCCGTGCACCACAACTACTGAGCCTGCGCATCTAGAGCCTGTGCTCTGCAACAAGAGAAGCCACTGAAATGAGAAGCCTGTGCACCGTAACGAAAGAGTAGCCCCCGCTTGCCACAACTAGGGAAAGCCCGCACACAGCAATGAGGACCCAATACAGCCAATAAATAAATAAATAATTTTTAAAAATTGTAAACTGTGGTAAAAAAAAAGAAAACATACAAATGGCTAATAGGCATATGAAAAGGTGTTCAGCATCACTAATCATGAGGGAAATGCAAATCATATCCATAATGAGATATCACCTCATACCTATGGGGGTAACTAGGATGAAAAAGAGGTAACAACTATTGATGAGGGTGCGGAGAAAATGGAATCCTTGTACACTGTTGGTGAGAATGTAAATTGGTGCAGCCTTTATGGAAAACAGTAAGGAGCTTCCTCAAAAAATTAAAAATAGAACTACTACTTCTGGGTATATATCCAGAGGAAATGAAGTCAGTATATCAAAGAGATATTTGCATTCCTGTGTTCATTGCAGTGTTATTCATGATAGCCTACATATGGAAACAACCTGAGTGTCTACCAATGGATAAATGAATTTTTAGAAATAGGGTTTATATATACAATGGAATATCATTCAGCCTTAAAAAAGAAGGAAATCCTGCCATTTGTAACAACATGGATAAACCTGCAGGACATTAGGCTAAGTGAAATATTCCAGACACAGAATTACAAATATTGCATGATTTCACTTATATGTGGAATCTAAAAAAGTCGAACTCATAGAAGCAGAGAGTATAATGGTGGTTGCCAGGGGTTGGGAGGTGAGGGGAATGCAGAGATGTTGATCAAAGTATACAAACCTTCAGTTTCAAACTAAATAAGTTCTGGAGACCTGTTATAGTTAGTAACACTATAGTTAATAACACTGTATTGTACACTTGAAATTTGTTAAGACAGTATATCTTAAGCATTCTCAAAATTTAAAAAAATTAGTAACTAGGTGAGGTGATGGAAGTGGTAATTAGCTTGACTGTGGTAGTCTCATATATTCATATATAAATTATTATGTTGTACACCTTAAATACATACATTTGTCAATTACACCTCAGTAAAGCTGGAAAAATGCAAAAAAACCTTCAAGGTATAGTATAGAATATATAAACAGCTGCCTTTTGTGAAAGGAGTGAAAGGATAAGAATATTTATATTTGCAAGTCATATTTGCATAAAGATGCTCTGGAATTATACACATGAAATTAATACAAGTGAATATTTAGAAAACGCAGGAAGGGTTAGGGAAGTGGGGTTGAGATAAGAATCCAGAACTTTCTAGCAGTAGTCAGTGATTTTCATTGTGTAAAATAAACGCATAAAATGGAACTCTGCTTTTGCAAACTAAGGCTATTAAAAGGACCAAGGGGGAAAGTGGTTCATGTTGCTTCCCCCAAATCATTTATTGCAGTAGCTACAGAAGATGGGTGAAGGCATTTGGTTTTCAGATGGCACCAGGATTGGGTGGATGGTAGAAGAGATAGCCCAACAGCACAGAACTTATGTTTAATGAAGACAGCAGAAGCTTCCTAGAGTGGGAATGTGCTTTTAGAGACTGAGAAATACCTGGAAAGCCAATAAGGATATCATAAGTTAAGTGATAAGAAATACTTAAGAAAAATTCATAGTGTTTCTCATCTTTTCATCCAGGTAGACCTTTCAGAGATAGTGAAGGTCCACTCTAGAAACCATAGTGACAGGAAGATCTAAGTAGCTGGTTCTAACCGTGATTAAGACTTTATCAATGGTGGAGGAGACAGATCAGAGGTTTCCAGTTTTCCAACCAGAGAGAAGGTATCAGGACTTTGCAAACCATATTAAGGTTTGTTTGTTTGTTTTCCTTAAGGAAACTAGCATTTTAGCTAATTCAATAGCAGAACTTCTAAGCATAAGGGTTTCCCTATCATACTGGGGTCTCTACTTGAGAAAATGATTTAATCTTTTAAATTTTGTTTCACTTTAAGAAAGTACAGATCTCTGCATTTGGATAATTTCTCAAACCAAATTGGAAAACATTATAAGAAGGTTGTCTACAAACAGTACCAAGATGCATCCTTCACCAAACTCCTGGAGAATCCCAATATCAAAGAAGATGGGATCTTGGGCCCTATTATCAGAGCCCAGGTCAGAGACACACTTAAAGTAAGTAACAGAAATATAGAACCATGGAAGAAATTAAATAGTGAAAACAAGATTATAAGTACTGGTTATTTTTTTAATGTGTCCATATAATTTTTAATTGAAATACAGCTTTAATTTTTATTTAGTATTTGCGCTTATTGTAGCCTATCTCATAATACAAACAATCTGAGACAGTTTATCAAATTATAAAGGAATAAAACAAGGAGCCAATGTAATTGGGGTGAAGGATAATGTGGGGACAAAGAAAATAAAGCCAAGGATAAGATAAGTATAATGAAACACATACCATATGCTCCTGTAATGTTGTCAACAAATTTTGTCCTAAGCTTTCTAGCAGCCAAAGTAAAAAGGGAACTAGGTCAGGGTAGGAGTCACAGTAGTCATAAAAAAAGCAGTTTCCCCTGCTACTGAGACTTAAGAGGAATTTCTCCCATGGATCCTTAAGAAAGAGGATGCTGTGTGATGTAGTAGATGGAATCCTTGATAAATTCCTACTGGTACAATAAATTTATAAAAGAAATTTATAAATTTAAAAGTTACAAAGCTTTTTAAAATAATGTTTCTCATTATAGCTGAGAACATAACCCAACTGAATGAAAACAATTCATCAATGTGGTCTAGGTATGTAGTTCTCTGATGATTAGTCTCTGATGAAGGTACATTTTGATATGTTTCAAGAGCACTGAGTGCTCTTCAGTTTTCCTTAAATGCTGTGTCGCATCATCAACTTACCTTCTGATAAGAACTAGATGGCAGAGAATTGAAAGTTGCAATCTTTGGCAAGATTCTAGAGTGCAGATTATCTGCAGATTAAGCATGATCCAGATGCTTTGGCAAGCACGGAGAAGACAAGATTAAAATTCTCTTCTGAAGATTAAGCAGGCTAACTAGGACTCCTGTGTGCATAAAGCTCCTCCCTTCACCTCTTCGTGGGGATGAACCAAGAGGATATCTACAGACAAGGCCAATGCTGTTCATTTAAAAAATAACAAAAGGGCAGAAAGCAGCCTTTCTCTGTTCTCTTTCCCTTCCCTCATTTCTGATCCCTTTTAGGTACTCTTAGAAAGTGGAAATATGCCTCATTGGCAATTCAGGATCTCGCTATTTTCTGTGCCCCATCGAGAAGATGACTTGATGACAGGGTTCTGGGGGATCTGGCAGGCTGGTGAAGGTGATCATGGTCTAAGAGAAGGAGCAGATTCAAAGGCAGATGTGGTCCAAGAAAGGAGAGGGGACAGGGGATGGTGACCAGCTTGGAGAGAGTGATATACTGTGAGGAAAATGTCACTTCTAAGGTTAGACTTCTCTTTCCATTTTCTACCTTTCTATGTGCGTGGAACTCTCTCAGATGCACCTGTCAGGTGATGCGGAGAGGTTTCCACTCAGATAAACAGCATTAGTTTGCATTGACATAAACACACACACGCACGCACGCGTGCGCACGCACACACGCACGCACACACACACACACACACACACTATCCCACAAGTAAATATGCAAAGCTAGCATCCTCTGTTCTCATGACTGACCTTAAATCCTGAAATAATGAATTTGAGTTAATTTTGTAGATCATGTTCAAAAATATGGCCAGCCGCAGCTACAGCATTTACCCTCATGGTGTGACCTTCTCTTGTTATGAAGATGAAGTCAACTCTTCCTCCACCTCAGGTCTGAACCTTTCACTTCTACTGAATGAAGCTATTGACTTCTGAGAGGTTGCCATAATTTTCTACTGCCCTCCTTGCCCAGTAGTATAACTTATACATTCAGGTAGTATACGTATAGGGGTATCCTCAAAGTCACAACCAAACACTGCTCACTTCAGGGATTTTTTTTACCCTAATGATTACAAAATATGGTGTCCTTTGTTAGTGCCATAAGTGGCCTCTAGTGGACGAATATGTAATAGCTACATGCTATCCAGAGTTCTATCAAGTGGAACTTAATATAAAAATAATATTCCTTTCCCAACATTGATTCTAACAAGAACTCAATTATTTTAAATTATTCATTCATTTATTATTTACTTATTTTTTTATTTAATTTATTTCCATGAAATAATTTTGAAAATTGAAAACAATTTTGACTATATTTTCTTTCAGGCAGTAACACCATGATCAAAGCAGTTCAACCAGGGGAAACCTATACTTATAAGTGGAACATCCTAGAGTCTGATGAACCCATGGAAAATGATGCTCAGTGCTTAACAAGACCATACTACAGTAATGTGGACATCACAAGGGACATTGCCTCTGGGCTGATAGGGCTACTTCTAATTTGTAAGAGCAGATCCTTGGATAAGCGAGGCATACAGGTATTTTGTCCTTGAAGTAACCTTTCAGAAATTCCAGGAATTTCTTCTGACTGAAACAGATTAGCTCTCCTTGTTAAATAATGGGGCTTTTGCTTCTAGAGAACCAGAAAATATTAAGTAGTCCTCTTTAGTGTGAATGTAACAATGCTTATTCCTTTAGTTACTTTTTTGTCTTGTCTATTTCCATATGGACTTTCACCGGGAAAGGCAAGTCTACAGTGTGATACTGTATTTTGTTTGCTTGTTTCAAATTCCAGATCTGTCCGTGCTATGTGATGAGCAAGTCACTTAGTTTCCCTTAATTTCTTCCTTTCATCAAAAGGGTATTACCCATTTTTAAAAAATTAATGAGTGGTAGTGTTACTGATTAGTTACATATTTATCTCTGTACTTTACTATGTTTTCCACTTTTTCTAAATTTGTATGGATCATTTTAAAAATCAAAATTAAAGCTCGTAGAAACATTACTTATTAAATATTTCAGATATTCAAAAAGTTACAGAAAAGAATAAAACAGACTTCTATGTACTCAAGAAATAAAACATTACATATGCAAAAAAGAAAAAGGGTATTACCCCCTCCTAAAAATTTTATAGGATTGTTTCATGGCTCAATGAGATACCATCTGGTAAAAGTGTAAAGCTCTGTACCAGTCCTTGTTATTTTTAGAGACCTGCAATAGGGAGAGAAAGGAGACATACAGGCAGACATAGCTTGCAGACATAGCTTCTCAGGAAGTTGAACACAGACAATGGTCTGTCTCTAGCAAGACCAATTTATACAGAAGAATGTGAACAAAAATATGGATCTTCTGATTTTATCATCATTGAAGAATAAAAGCCTCATATCATTAACTTAAAATTCCCAATTAGGCTAAGCTATAATCAAAGAAGTCTCATCCCAAGGCATATAAAATAAATATACGCCTAGAAAAAGCCAAAAGAGACATTTGGAAGACCCTAATTTATTGAGCTAGGAAAGGAAACAGGTAGGGAGAGATATAAAACTTTCCTACGGCACCCTTCTTTTTTATCCTTTGCAACTATTTGGAGCACATCCAATCAATCATTCGAGTTGAAAGGTGATAAACAGTTGATAGAGATAAACAGAATTACAGTTGCTACATTGAAATGGGATTTTTCTATTAGGATATTTTAGTCTCTGAATTTTCTGATCTGCACTGTTTGCCTTGACATGCTACCATTGGCTCTAACAAGGGCTTTGTACACAATGGGCTCTCACAGATGTCTGAATTTATGGCTTCATTGGACCCAAGACCTGTACCCCTTTGGTTTCTGAGAACTCAGGGTTGTAGTTAATCAATCTGCTAGGACGTTAATCACTGAACACAGCACTTTTACCCTCCAGAGGGCAGCAGACATTGAGCAGCAGGCTGTGTTTGCTGTGTTTGATGAGAACAAGAGCTGGTACATTGAGGACAACATCTACAAGTTCTGTGAAAATCCTGAGAAGGTGAAACGTGATGACCCCAAGTTTTATGAGTCAAACATCATGAGCAGTAAGTCAGAGCACTCTTTTTGTCCATCAGTTTTTCACTCCTGTGGTTGAAGTGTGACTTTCCTAGAGGAAGAGACATGGATTAGAATCCACTCACCCCTTACCCTCACTTCCAGTATAGGGATTTGGTGATGAAATTACTGGGTGATATTATAGAAATCTTTTTACAGCATGAGGTAAAAAGCTTGTTATCCTTAGAAGTCTTCTTGGTCTCCTGCTCCAAATGTGTGTGTGTGTGTGTGTGTGTGCATGCACGCACACATGTGCATGTGCACTTGCTCTGAGCAGGTAAGAACAGGGTGAGGGATGGATGGTGAGGGAAGAGGCCTTGGTCAGAAGTATCTGGGGATTTTAGAATGGGTGCAAGGTGAATACTCTTTATGGCCAGGGCAGAAATATTAAGTAGTCCTCTTTAGCATGAATGTAACAACGCTTATTCCTTTAGTTACTTTTTTGTCTTGTCTATTTCTTATTTCTGCCAGGGCAGAAACAGGGTAAATAATCCAAAAGTGGATTGTCAAATCAAACTAAGGCAAAATGCATATGGGGAGACATGAGTCTTGGAAATTCAATCCATAAAGAAGTTTTAAGCATGCAGTAAGAAGTTCAGAACAGAAAGAATTCCCTGAGCCAAGGTTCAGGCTTTTGCTACAGTTTTAAAGTCAGTGCCCAAAGCCACTGGTATGGGAAGCCTGGGAGAGATTTCACTGAGCCAGCTGGAAGCAAACTTCTCCACAATGGTCATCGTCCCCTTCCTCAGAGTTGAGAGTCACTATTGTCACTTTCTCTGATAAGTAACCACAGGTACGAGGATGGTTTCTCCATGGTCTGTTCATATAACTTCAGACAACCAACAATTGGGGATTCTCACAACTGGTAGGTGCCAGGAAAATAATTTGAAACAGGGAGTTAGCCTCAGCTTTCTGTACTTAATTTCATTTTGGCAATGAATCTGTCATAGTTCTAGACTAGTGCTGTCCATTAGAAATTATATATGAGCCACAAATATAATTTAAAATTTTCTAATAGGCATATTAAAAATTAAAGAGAAATATATGAAATTTATTTAATAATGTTTAATTTATCATATTATCATTTCAACATATAATCAATATGCAAATTAATGAGATTTACTTTCTTACTAAATCTTTAAAATCCAGCGTGTATTTTATACTCACAGCACATCTCAATCCAGATTACCCATATTTCGAGTGCCCAATAGTCACTGGTGGCTAGTGGCTACCAAATTAGTGCAGCTATAGACCATTTAGAAAAGCTTCCTGAATGAGGTATAAACTAAAAACACATTATGTCAACTATTCGATAAATATTTAAGTTCTCACTCGTTCTAGGCATTGTACTAAGATTAGGACTATAGTGGTAACCTAGGCAGACATGGACCCTGCCCTTATAGAAATCATATCTGTGGTTTTATTACCATGCTTAGTATATAAGTAGACAATGATACTGACTAAAACTGTATCCCTTGGAAAGAGAATGAAAATGTCTGAACTTGATAGTTGAGTGCAAACTAGAGATTATATAAATGCTAAGACAGAGCAATTAAAATTGCAAAATGTGCTAAATATGCTTCATTTTTAGGAACATTACTTTGCATTCAATAACTAATGTGTCGAGGATACAGGGAGGAGGAAGGGTAAGATGGGACAAAGTGGGAGAGTGGCATGGACATATATACACTACCAAATGTAAAATAGATAGCTAGTGGGAAGCAGCCACATAGCAAAGGGAGATCAGCTCGGTGCTTTGTGACCACCTAGAGGGGTGGGATAGGGATGGTGGGAGGGAGGGAGACGTAAGAGGGAAGAGATGTGGGAACATATGTATATGTATAACTGAGTCACTTTGTTATAAAGCAGAAACTAACACACCATTGTAAAGCAATTATACTCCAATAAAGATGTTAAAAAAAAAAGAAAAAGAAAAAAATAACTAATGCGTCAAGAATCTGTATTTCTTATATTATGCTTTTTCTCCAGGTAAAATTACTCTAGACAAAATTCTAAGTTACCTTCGGAATATCTTTAAAAACAGAACCTAGAGTACAAAATATTTAATATACACTTAACAAGTGAATAAATAAATCAATGTGAATGAAAAGGCTTTGTCTTTATCCTGACATTTCTCCCTTGGCTAACTTAGGAGAATAAGCTCTCATTTGAAAAGTCTGAGTTTGATCTTCCAGTTACATGTTACATTTGGTAAAGCTTATCTCAGATAATCACTGCTTAGATGCAACCAAATTACCATTGGGATATTTACCGTAAGTATAGTTAGACACATTCCCTTTTGTTGGCATAGGCCTGATGTTTCAACAAATTTCACTCTTTCAGCTATCAATGGCTATGTGCCTGAGAGCATACCCACACTAGGATTCTGCTTTGATGACACCGTCCAGTGGCACTTCTGCAGTATGGGAACCCAGAATGACATTTTGACCATTCACTTCACTGGGCACTCATTCATCTATGGAAAGAAACACGAGGACACTTTGACCCTCTTCCCCATGCGTGGGGAATCTGTGACCGTCACAATGGATAATGTTGGTAAGAGCTTGGACACTTAAAGGGGACTCTCTGATCAACCCAGTCTGCTGCAGCTCTCCAGACTACCATGGTTCCTGGGCTTCTCTCCCTGATCCCTTGCAGGCTTTCTTTTCAGGACTACTCATGATTTCTATTTGGGGAATTACTTAAATGGGTCCAGTCCTTTACTGTGCATTCCATTTATCCTTCTCTGGGCTAAGTGAGAAGTAAAGATAAAACAGTAAAAAGATAAGGCATGACTTTGAGAAGAAAGCGTGAGCATTCAGCCACAAGAGAGCATTTCTTTTATCAAAATGCCTTTTTCAGCTTTATAAGACAGCCATCCCACCCTAGGGTTAGTGGTCATCTGATATAGTGGCTTAGAGGCTGGCTTCAGAGACAGCAGCGTCATGGAAAGCACATGGGCTTTGGAATTCATCAGACCTGGGTTCAAATCCTGCTTTGCCACTTGATATCTGTGTAGCAATTTGGACAAATTACTCCACCCGACTGAGCCTCAGTTTATTCATCTGAAAAACAGAATAGTAATACCTTACAGAGTTGCTTTGACCATTAATTGTTATATGTGCCAAGGGCCTAGGACTCAGTAGACAATCAACATGTGGTAACTATTGAAGACTTTCCAGGAAATCTTCAGTGTGCCAGCAAATCATACCATTTCAAAGAAACTCAAAACTGCCCTAGGCCCACCTGAATTATTTATTACTTAGAAGTATCTATATGTCTCTTATTTGTGGGGGTAAACATCCTCATCTTCCCCCTAACTCCAGCTCTCTAACAAAATATGCAACTCACAAGATGCTTATAATATTCAAAGTCCATTTCATTCTTGATTCATCCCTTGAAAAATATATTCTCAAATAGTGACTCTCAAACTACCTGTGCTGAAAGTTTTTTTCTCCCTAATTTTCACTGACCAATACTTTGGGTCTATATTCTGTTAAATGAGATAAATATGCTGATCACGTGATTGGATGTCATAGAAATGTCAAATTGCTAAAAGGTTTCCTATACACTTTACTCTTGATTTCTTTCCTTATGTCACTGTGGAACAGTAAACAACAGTTCACAGATCAGTTGTGGTCCACAGACCACAGTACCCCTGATGAAAGTTCACTGGAAATTATCTGCCACAATGGACCATAGGGTTTTTATACCTTTTTCTGTACTCAGAGCTCTCTGTTCTCTCTGCCTCTATTTTGTAGGAACTTGGATGTTAACTACCATGAATTCCAATCCAAGAAGCAAAAAACTGTGGCTGAGATTCAGGGATGTTAAGTGTATCCGGGATTATGATGATGACTCATATGAGATTATATACGAACCTTCAGGATCTACATCCATAACTACAAGGAAAATGCGTGAATCATCAGAAATCAAAGATAAAAATAATGATGCTGACTATGATTACCAGAACACACTGGCTTTATCATTAGGAATCAGGTCATTCAGAAATTCATCATCAAATCAGGAGGAAGATAAGTTCAATCTTACCGCACTGGCTCTGGAGAACAACTCTGAATTCATTCCTCCAAGTACCAACAGAACTGTTGGTTCAAATTCTTCTTCCCCAGGTAACATTAGCAGGCTTATTGCCAATAACTTTGCACAACCTCTGAAAATTCTTCCTCACCCAGAAGCCACCATAGCTGGTCCCCCGCTAGGACACACCAGCTTAGATAAGAACTCAATTCTCAACCCTCCCACAGCAGAGCATTCCAGCCCTTATTCTGAAGACCCTATAGAAGATCCTCTATACTCAGATGTCACAGGGATAAGCCTGCTTCCATTTGGTACAGAAGAATTCAGAAATCAAGAACATGCTAAACATAAAAGATTCAAGGCAGGAAGAGGCCGAGGAGCAAAGCATAGATTCTCCCAGATGGAATTCCCAGCACATAAAACTGGTAGACATTTAAGCCAAGGCAACTCTTCTTCTTCCAGAATAGGGCCCTGGGAGGACCTTCCCAGTGATCTGTTACTCTTACAACAAAAGGATCCATCTAAGATTCTGAATGGGGAATGGCATTTGGTTTCTGAGAAAGGCAGTTATGAAATAATCCAAGATGCTGATGAAGTTAAGGTTGTTAATAAGCTGCCAAACAGCCCCCAGAATGACTCAAGGACTTGGGGAGAAAACATCCCTTTTAAAAACAAGCATGGAAAGCAGAGTGGCCACCCAACGTTTTTTGTAACTAGACATAAACCTCTACAAGGAAGACAAGATGGAGGAAATAGTAGATTGAAGAAAGGCCTTTTTTTAATTAGGACGCGAAGAAAGAAAAAGGAAGAGAAGCCTGCACACCATGTTCCTCTATCTCCAAGGAGTTTTCACCCTCTGAGAGTAGAGGCCAACACCCCATTTTCAGATGGGAGACATAATCATTCATTGTTACTCCACACATCCAATGAAACATCTCTTCCCGCAGACCTCAATCAGACACTCCCCTCTATGAACCTTAGCCTCATGGCCTCACATCCTGATGGTGATCAAAACCCCCCAAATGACACCAGTCAGACAAGCTCCCCTCCAGATCTTTATCAGACAGTGAGCCCAGAGGAACACTATCAAACATTCCCTATTCAAGACTCTGATCCAACGCACTCCACTACAGTCCCCAGTCACAGATCTCTTCCTCCAGAGCCCAGCCAGATACCCAACTATGACCTAAGAAACAAGGCCTTCCCTACTGATGTTAGTCAAACGTTCCCTTCCTTGGAACCTGAAGTCTGGCAGACAACTACCTCTCTAGACCTCAGTCAGCCATCCCTCTATCCAGATCTCAGCCGGACCACCCTTTCTCCAGACCCTGGACAGGAGACTCTCTCTCCAGACCTCAGCCAGACAACATTTTCCCCAGACCTTAGCCAGGAGACTCTCTCTCCAGACTTCAGCCAGACAACACTTTCCCCAGATCTTAGCCAGGAGACTCTCTCTCCAGACCTCGGCCAGACAACCCTTTCTCCAGACCTCGGCCAGACAACCCTTTCTCCAGACCTCGGCCAGACAACACTTTCCCCAGATCTTAGCCGGGAGACTCTCTCTCCAGACCTCAGCCAGATGGCCCTTTCCCCAGACCTTGGCCAGGAGACTCTCTCTCCAGACCTCAGCCAGACAACGCTTTCCCCAGACCTTAGCCAGGAGACTCTCTCTCCAGACCTCAGCCAGACAACGCTTTCCCCAGACCTCAGCCAGGAGATTCTCTCTCCAGACCTCAGCCCGATGGCCCTTTCCCCAGACCTTGGCCAGGAGACTCTCTCTCCAGACCTCAGCCAGACAACCCTTTCTCCAGACCTTGGCCAGACAACACTTTCCCCAGATCTTGGCCAGACGACTCTTCCCCCAAACCTCAGTCAGATGCCACTTTCCCCAGACCTCAACCAGGCAACTCTCTCTCCAGACATCAGTCAGACATCCCTTCCTCTTGATCTCAGGCAGACATCACCTCCTCTAGATCTCGATCAGACATCCCACACTTCTGAATCTATTCAGTCATTGCCTCTCCCAGAACTTGGTCAGACTTTCCCTTATGCAGATCTTGGTCAGATGCCAACTCCTCCACCACATTCTCCACTAAATAACACTTTTATACCAAGAGAATTTAATCCACTGGTCGTAGTAGGCCTCAGTAGAGATGATGGAGATTACATTGAAATTATTCCAAGGCAGAAGGAAGAGAGCAGTGAAGAAGACTATGGTGAATTTGATTTTGTGGCCTATGATGACCCTTACCAAACCGATCTTAGGACAGACATCAACTCCTCCAGAAATCCTGACAACATTGCAGCATGGTACCTTCGCAGCAACAATGGAAACAGAAAAAATTATTTCATTGCTGCTGAAGAACTATCCTGGGATTATTCAAAATTTGCACAAAGGTTTGGCCAGTTCTCTCCTTTTATATTCTCACTTTTCCACTACTGCTAAAAAAAGTAATTACAGCAGTCTAAGGAGATGATTCTGGGCAAATTATACTAAGTGTAACTTATACTAAGTATCATTTAGTTTCCCTATTGCAACTTGGCCTATACTGTTTCCTTTGTCAACTCCAAGATTAGCTTCTCTACTTTGGGTGACATCTGGGCAATATAAGAGCTATCACTCTAAGAAGTCTATGATATTTTGTAGTTAAATTAGCCCCCTCCTCTCTCTTCTTTTCTCATCACACATGTTCCTACCTCCCCTTCTTGCTCCAATGCCGAGCCCAACCTATCCATAGCTATAGGCTAATCAATATGATTTCACTGAAGTTGGCTTCAAATCCAAATTTGTGATGTAGAAATCTCCTTTTGCAATTACTTATTTAACAAAAACATTTTAAATTGTTTACTGATCGATATAAAGTATATAGCATCTTGGTGAAGATTAATTCAAATTCCATAAGATTCCAGTAGCAGAGGCCAAGGGTATAAAGTAGCTTAGAAACAAAAAGCAAGTTTATACCCTCAACTGAGCCATTCATTACATAATGATTTATCTTGATTTAAACTTTTGTTTTAACTTGGTTTATAGACTCACTCAGTCAATAACTCTTTAATGAGTACTTATTCTCTCCTAGGCATTGTGCTAAGTGCTGAGACTATAAAAGAGAATATAAACACAGGACTCCTGCCCTGATGGAACTTATGTCTAGTTGGGCAGGAAGATATGAACCAAGTGCTCACATAAATAAGTGTAAAAATTAACCATGATAAAGACCAATAAGGAAAGGTGATATATGGAGATATGAGAACTGGGGAGTCTGACTCTGGAGAAGCGGCGTTTGAGCTGACATCTGAAGATGAACAGGAGGTAGAGAGGGCAGAGCATTCTAGACAGAGAGAACAGCATGATGAAGGCCCTGAGGAAGGAGGAAGCCCTGAAGCTGAAGACCTGTGTAGCTGGAACTCAAGAAGAGGGCGGGTGCTAGGAAAGTGTTTGGCTAGCTCTGCAGAGATCAGATGCCACTAGGCTTTGTGAGCCCTGGGAAGAATTTTGATGTTTTTCAAAGAGCAATGAGAAACCCTTCAAAAGCTTTAAGCCATTCCTAGTTTACTGGAATGTGTCAGTTCCTTTCCCGAACCTTGTTACTTGCAGTCTTTTTAATGGAGGAGTTACACCAAGTGGCCCCCAAGATCTGCTGCAGCTCTAACATTTTAGGGTTCCAGCCACTCTTCAACCATAGAGTTGAAGGAATTGATGCAATTTTGTAAGTGGCCTGACTTATAACAGAGAGTTTTTAAGGGAGCCACATGCATTTTTAAAAGATAATTTTTAATTTAATTTTGTTCAAGTGTGGAAAGCCATATTGGTCTGGGTTCTATATTCTGGGATGACAATATAGAGAAAGGAGAGAAAGGGGGACAAGAAGCAACTACAGATCCTCAGGGATATCATGGGGACCATGTGTAAAGTGTCCAAATATAGCCCACAGCTTTTACAAAAGCTAACTGTTACACTACTAAAGTTAAAACCAAAGTGCAACTAGAGTAAGCAAACACAATGCATGGCGTGACTTACAGAAATTATTTCATTAATCTGATGCCTGACATTTCCATGTTAGAATTCTGTTAGTTGAAGAGACTTTCTCCCTTGACTTCCTATTTAGATGTAGCACCCATTACTATATGAGAATAAATACTTTATCTAGGGATTTCTAAGCAAGTTACTGAGGGAATAAGGTTTTCCAGAGTGTAAAGGGATGGAACTAGTTCCTTCAAAATCCTATGTCCCATTCCAGATATGCAACCCATTTTTATGGCAACGTTGCTTTGCTCCTCCCCATGCGTTCTGTGAGACTGTATGTTATGCTTAGAGTCTGGAAGAACGGGGTTAATCCGGTAGAAAGGCTAGAAGGAAGGCAGAATGGGATTCTCTGTGGATGGCTCGTGTTGTGTAACAAATACTGTGAGACTGAGGGGTGAGCTTTTGGCCTGTTTCCCAGACTCCTGGGGAATTTAAGAGTCAGTAGGAAAATACGATGCGCTCTAGCTCCAGACTGAGCTGGTGAACTACATGAGGAATACTATGATTTAGCAAAAGCAAATGTGGGAAGAGTGGCTACTCTCCAGGTATAAAACACTCATCCATCCAGTGACCTCTACAGGGGTGGCGCTCTAAATCAACTGACTCTTATCACCTGCCTGTCCTGGCACTGTCCCATCACATGGCTTTGTCTGCTTTTGATATTAAAATCTGCTGTGTTAATATATGATTATATTTGTCACTCATTAATACATTAAATAAATGTCTGCTTACTGTGTGCCAGACAACTTGCTAGGCACTAGAAGTAAAAATTATAAGCGAACGAGGCACAATCCCTAACCTCATGGGGCTTTCACCCTAGTGGTAGAGTCAGGTATTAATAGATAATCTCATGAATAGATGATATATAATTTACTATATATACTATAGAAATATTATCAGAATACTACAGGGATTTACTATATATACTATAGTAGTAGTATAGAAATGTGAGGAATGCTAGAGATTTGACCCAGTCTAAAGGATCATAGGAGGAGATACCAAGAAATGATATATGAGCTGGGAATTGAAGGATATTTACTGGCTTGTGGTTTTAGTTATTTATATTTTAATTCATTTGTTCATCAAATGTTTATCAAATATCTTCTCTATATACTATATTCAGAAACAGATAATTTCCTAAATTCTTGAATGGTCTTTAACTTGTTCTTTTAAACAAATGCTATTATTATCATTTCAGTGAAGACATTGATGATGTTTCAAAGGACACCATATACAAGAAAGTAGTTTTTCGAAAGTACCTTGATAGCACTTTTAACAAGCTTGATCCTCGGGGAGAGTATGAAGAGCATCTTGGCATACTTGGTCCTATCATTAGAGCTGAAGTGGATGATGTTATCCAAGTAAGTCATCTTTTGAGCATTGCTAAGATCATCAGAGGAATTTCCACAACCACCAGAGGGTTGTAGAGATGAAAGTGGCAAGAGAGCTATGGTGACTTATTTATTTTTCAAAATCAACAAATAACTACATTTCTTTTCAAAGACTGCTTACCAAGTAACTTGCCACTCTTCAAGGAAAAAAAAAAAGATCTCATAATTTTATCTCTCCCTCTGCTAAGCTCCTGTTCATTCTATAAGGGCCAATTCCATTTCTCCTAAGAAACTTTCTTTAATTCCCCCAACCTCTCCTAAACATTCAACTGAATTGCTTCTCCCAGGCATTCCCACCTAATCCCATTCATATTTTGTTTACAGCACCTTTTGTCTCCAGATTTTTAACTTGCATTCACATGTGCAGTCTCTCTACGCCAGTAGGTTGAAACCTTATTGTGAGTAAAACCCAAGCCTCATTCATTTTCAGATCTGTAGCACCTATCTTTATCATTTCATTTGTAGATAATGTCAATACTTTTGCTTTGAGCCTAAAAACAAACCTGTTTTGGTGTTTCTGGAGTAAACTACTTAGGCCCTATCTCATAGGATGGTTGTAAAATTAGATGAAGTAATATACGAAAGTTACTTTGCAATTCTAAACATTCAATATATCTTAGGTTCAATTTAATAGCCATCCACTTTGACCCATAATGCTGACATTTTGGGGGCTTTATTAAACGTAAATACATTTGTGAATCATTCTTTTTTTTAGGTTCGTTTTAAAAACTTAGCATCCAGACCATATTCTCTTCATGCCCATGGGCTTTCCTATGAAAAATCATCAGAGGGAAAGACTTATGAAGATGACTCTCCTGAATGGTTTAAGGAAGACAATGCTGTTCAGCCCAACAGCACTTATACATATGTATGGCATGCCACTGAGCGATCAGGGCCAGAAAATCCTGGCTCTGCCTGTCGGGCTTGGGCCTACTACTCGGCAGTGAACCCGGTAAGCATAGCCATCGAAAGTTTTTGTCATTTCCCCAAACTTATAACCTGAGTCCATCAAATGGAAGTGTCACAATTATTTCTTAGTAAATATCTGTCTTTCCATGAGGACTGTGTAAGGATCATGGTCAACAGTCGACAGCTACCGTAATCAGGGACTCTCCATGCAGACCTTCAGATGACAGTGAGAAGCATTTGTTCAGTGGAAAGGAATGAGGAATACTTAAAAGGTTGGCCCTAGTTAGAGTGACTACCTTTACAGAAGAAGATGTTTATCTGCAATTTCCTTGAACAAGTATTAGCTTTCTTCTGCCTTTTTTTTTCTTTTTTAATAAAAGAACTACAAAATCAAGACTCCCTCATTTCGAGCATGGTAGAGAGCATAGACTTAGATTTCAATTCCTATCCTGTCACTGACTGTGTAGCCCTAGGAAAGTTACTTGAGCTCCCTCAGCCTCAGTTTCCAAAGTTAAAAATGAGATAACAGTATATAGCATATATAGTAGGCACTTGGTAATATTTGTTCAATAAATGAATTTATTTTTTACCATATAGGATTATTGTCAGAATTAAATAAGATACTATAGGCAAAATATTTAACATAGTAGATGCTCAATAAATAGTATTTATAATAGTATCACTATTATTATCATCATTATTATCATTACTACCATGTTGAAACAAAGGATTAATCAGAGGAAGTGACTATGAGTATCACAGAATTAGATGATCAATATCCAGGCTTATTAAGCTATTCATTTATAATCTTCAAATTCAGAGCCTCTGAGAAGGTCTCCTCTTCAGTATGATCAGTGATTGTCAGAAGGGCAAAGAAAATCTTGAGAAAGAGATAATACGTGCAATTTGCTCTTACTGTCTTCCAGGAAAAAGATATCCATTCAGGCTTGATAGGACCCCTTCTGATCTGCCGAAAAGGAACACTTCATAAGGAGACCAACATGCCTGTGGACATGAGAGAATTTGTCCTACTTTTTATGGTATTTGATGAAAAGAAGAGCTGGTACTATGAAAAGAAGCCCATGAGGTCTTGGAGACGCACATCCTCAGAAGTAAAAAACTCCCATGAGTTTCATGGTATTTTCCTCTGACTTTGATCTAGTCTCTGAACCTAATCACTGGGTGATAGTGATTCCTGCCCATAGGTCTTCCCAAAATTAGACATGAGATGCTTCTGTGGAACCAGGAGCTCTAACTGACACCAGGTCCTTAAATGTCTACGAGGGCTGATGTAACCTGGCAGGTGACACTGCAGGTGAAAGAGAGTATACAAAATCTGAAATCTAAAAGATAGCTCACAAGGCTGCTGCAAAACCAACCCAAGCAAACCAACAAAAAAGCCAGTGTGCTTCGGTGGGTAACATAAATTGGAAAGGAATTAACATCATTCTGCAATTTAAACAGTTAATAAAACTGTGTCTTGATCTCTAAAGGATCAATTATTTATGTAGAAGTGATCACACGCACTTTCAAAATAAGAATGACTGTAATATTTGTAGCTCTCAGCAGTTCCCAGGTGGCACCCAAAGCATATGTGGAGAAAATGATATAGGAAACTGTGTAGCCAGCTAATGGAAGAAGAGTGCCAAGAGAGCATTTGGGTGGGAAAAGAGGGGAAAGCATATCTACTCTGAAGTCCATTCAGGAACTTTGTCTTTAAATTGGCAACGGAACTACAGTTTTAGAGAAAGGCAGAATTTAGGATTTGGTGAACAACAGATATAATGACTTAGGGATCAGAAGACAAATGAAGACCCTGTTTTCAGAGTTTGATAAATGGAGGTGATTTCTATGAGATTTCTGATCAGGAAGGTCCTGTGCTTTGGGTGATGGGTCAGTCATTCAGTGTAATAGGAAAGAAGAGGCTTCAGGAATAAAAAAAAAAAAAGACATTATAAGCAATATCCAGTTCACTGCCACCTCCTCTCCCCAGCCAGTCATCAAGGCTAAGTCGGTCTATGCTCCCTCTCCCACCCCATTTATATACTCAGGCTACCCTTTTTAAGCTTATTTTCCTTATTAAACTTCTGTAAGTGTGGAATACAATCTGATCTCACCTGTAAAAACACTTTGGCGTAGAGGAAAGGAAACAATATGATTTACAGTCTGCTCCAAAACCCCACCCTCTGGACTCTGCTTATCACGCAAGGTTAAGAAATTCTATTAAGCAGTCTAGAATAGAGTCAGTTGAGAGCTGCCCCACAGACTCCAAGCAGAGCTTTCTTTTCTCTTCTCCTATAATCTCTAGGCCTTTCAGCCCAGGGTGCTTGGTCTCATGGGTAGGAAGCACATCCTCTGAAAATCTCTCAACCTAGTGGAAAGTACAGACTGCAGAATCAGACAGGCCCATTTCTTAGCTATGCTGTTCACTTGCTGAGTACCCTCGAGGCCCTGCTTCCTGATTCTTCAAAGAAAGCGTAAAATGCATCCAGTATAGTTTTAGTTTTAAATGTATTGTCGTCTAAATCTCTGTAATTTGGTAATCTTCCACTGTAGAACTTATCAGGGTATTTGATAAGCAGACCACCTATGCCTGGCCTCTGCAGTATGCACCGAGTAAATATGTGTTGGATTAGTAAACAAATGAACTTTATTCACTCAGCTCAATTTATCTAATGTTTACTGAGTGCCTACTCTGTTGAGTGTCTTCACTTTTGTATCCTGATGTAATGGTTTAGCAATGCTGACCTAATAACCACTGGAGATACCTTTTACTTTTAGGAGATCTATTTCTTACACAGAAACTAAGATGAGGAGGTGAGGCTGGTGTTATGAGTATGTAGACAGGTGCTTTCATATCTGATATAATTTTAAGAGAGCCAAAATGATCTCAACTCTTCTCCCTCCAAAAATTCACTTGCCTGGTTCCTGAAATTCCACAGTAGTCCCTTTAACTTTAGAAGAATAAACAACAGCCACCACCACCACCAAAACTTCCCTCATTTCAGTCCCAATTAAGTACGTGGTAGCATTAAGCTTTATCATTAAAAATTTGTATGCATTCATTTGTTAAGGTGATCAAGTTTATCAGATGCTTAAAAAACACATATTTCAGTAAGGAGAGAGTTGATAAAGTCTGAGAACCCTAGACATCCAAGCTGGGAAGGGGGCAGAGGAGCAATCAGACAAACGAGAGAATAAACATGAATGTCTAAGGCTGGTGGGTATAACAAAGATAAAGACCAACTTCCTGGGCTTCCCTGGTGGTGCAGTGGTTAAGAATCCGCCTGCCAATGCAGGGGACACGGATTTGAGCCCTGGTCCGGGAAGATTCCTCATGCCGCGGAGCAACTAAGCCCATGTGCCACAACCACTGAGCCTGCTTGCCACAACTACTGAAGCTTGCGCGCCTAGAGCCCGAGCTCTGCAACAAGAGAAGCCACTGCAATGAGAAGCCCATGCACCACAACAAAGAGTAGCCCCTGCTCGCCACAACTAGAGAAAGCCCGCGTGCAGCAACGAAGACCCAACAATGAAGACCCAATGCAGTAAAAAATAAATAAATAAATAAACTTTTTTTTTTTTTTTTAAAAAAACCGACTTCCTAATTTTGCCTGGAACTATCTCTGAATTTAGGAGGCCTTAGAGTGATACACTGCACATCCCCTCACTTACCCTCTTTCCTCTAATGACTAGAGTTCACTTATCTGTCCACATTAGTCCTTACCCTTTTCGTAGCCTAGGAAAATTCATACTACAAATATAAAGAATAAACGGATAAAGCACAGAACAGGAAAAGTGTAAATCTGGGGAAAAGAGTGATAAACTGATTGGAAGGGGTACTCACCCACACTTCTGCAGTAGGCTGGTGTAAGAAGGAAAAGGTGGCTCTGTTTCAGCCTCTTACTGATATTATGACATATAGGGGGCCCCTTACTATGTCTGGGTGGGATTGGGCATGCAGAGTAATAAAGAAGATGGGTGGTGAGCGGAAGGCCTCATATTTCCTCTTTCCTGATGTTCACAGATTTTTGACTGATTGCAACTCTCTGTCCTTTCAGCCATCAATGGGATGATCTACAACTTGCCTGGCCTGAGAATGTATGAGCAAGAGTGGGTGAGGTTGCACCTGCTGAACGTAGGCGGCTCCCAGGACATTCATGTGGTTCACTTTCATGGCCAGACCTTGCTGGAAAATGGCACTCAACAGCACCAGTTAGGGGTCTGGCCTCTTCTGCCTGGTAAAGATCTCGACAATGAAAAGAGGTCCCTGTGACAAAATGGCGAGAGCAGACAATCTTAGCGTCTGTAACTTCCTCATTCCCTCCTTGTGCATCTCCTTCCAAAGGGGTTAAAGCATGGGCTCTGGCATGGATCCTGGGCAAAGCCATATTCTAAACCTGCATGCAGAATACAGAAGAGTCAGCTAAGTGTCTGCACTGTTTGTAGCACCACACAGACTAAATGTGCAGCCCAGGCTTCTTCTACAGAGATGCTCTGTCTACTGCAGATTCTTCCAAGCCATGATGTGTCACGCAGGCCAGGTCTAAAGCAGATTACAAAATGAATCCCACAAGGTTCAGGCAGCTAAAGCTTTCTGTTGGGCGGAGATCAGAAACTTACCAGGATTTCGGGGCTCTTGAATTCTACTCCTCACTCTATCACCCTGATATCTTTGGGCAAGTGACTGTAGGAATCTGAATCTTAAACTGATTCATGAGGGGAAAAATATATTTTTAAATGATTCTAAAAGCTAAAGAATAATAAAGGTATTTAAAGCTTTTCATATGCAAAATAATGATAAGGTTTAAACAAACTACAATCATCAAAAAGGATTTTTACGTGCCAGTGAGTTGTTTGTAGGTGTGTATCACAGGTGTGTGAGTGGAGGTGTAAGTGCTAGATGCCATTGATCTTCAAACTGCAGGGGGCATAATACAAATTTACAAAGCTGGTTAAAACACAGATGCTAAGGAGAGATTTTGCTCTCAGAGACTTCGATCTGATAGAACTTGGGCAGGGGCCCAGGATTTTTAACATTTTTTTTGCATTTTTAACAAGCAGCCTACCTTCCATAAATGCTATCTGAGAAGCTAGTCAGGGCAGTCCTTTGACAGGACTTTGGGTGGGGAGGTTGCTGTGTGAATCAGCCTCAGATGTAGGCACCCAAGTCCAAAACGGGCCCGATTTAGTTAAGGATGGGGGTAAACAGGGTCCTTGTTTGTTTGAAACATGCCAGTTTCTCATTAACAAAGCTATAAAGACCCACTCTGTTAAAATCAGGGGCAGAAAGGATTAGGTCAAACTCACTCCTAACTTTTCACCAAGTGTTACCAGATCAGTCATCCTTTCCATGAGCCTGCGCGCGAGAAGCTGGGGTTCGCTGACCCACCTAAATCTTCATACCTAATATCAGCATTACAGAGTAGAAGGCTGGAGGTCATTTTTTAGCGTGTTTGAGGAGGATGACCATCGGCTATTACTTTTTACTCACAATCTAGGAAATGGTCACATATTATAGTCAGCAGAATTTAAGTATTAACTGGCAGTAGGTAATGTTAAATACCAGAATGGATAATCAGAGATTTCAGAAATCTCACTCTTTCAGTGATTTTCTGAAACAATTTTTGTACATCTCTCTCTAAAATGTAAACTTTATAGAAAAATTGAAACGTGGGGGAAGGATGTTTTATTTTCTCAGATAAAAAAGAAAAACTAGAGAAATGAAGAGAGAGAAAGGAAACATGTACAGTATTTTTGAGGCCCAATGACATCATTCAAGGTTGCTTTGATAAGCTGTATTATATATGGGTTAACTTGTAACATTATATTTAGATAAATGAAAGTTTCTTTCTAGTAAGGGGTGTTGGAGATTTTTTAAAGTCCCAGGGCAATTTATTTTTAGTAAGTTTGTGTGTGTGTGTTGTCATTGTTGTTTTGTTTTGATCTCTTTGTTACACCTGTAGTCCTGCCTAAAGAGAAATGGGTAACTCTTAAGTTATATTCTAAACCATTTGCAATTCAGGGATTTTAGGATTCTTTGGTAGTGGTCAACCAATGTTAACCTGTTAATCTTTGTGTATGCAATGTTGTCCTTTACACTCTATTTTAGGTTCATTTAAAACTCTTGAAATGAAGGCATCAAAACCTGGCTGGTGGCTCCTAGACACAGAAGTTGGAGAAAACCAGAGAGCAGGGATGCAAACGCCATTTCTCATCACAGACAGAGGTATCATCCAAGAGCCACATTATTTTTTTAGCAGGAGAGTGCCTGTTCCTAGAATATTACCAATTTTTAGATTGGAAATATTCAACTCTGAGAACTCTGACATAACAGAGGCATAATCTGTAGCCGTAATTTCTTTTATTCTGACCTATAGTCTGACTATACTGCAAACATCAGTTTTAAGCCAAATGGTTCAAACCAAAGGCATTCCTCTCATTTGAGGAACCAATATAAAGCATCCTCCTTCATGATTTGTGATCCATGGGGCAGTGAATATAAGAAATTCTCCAGACTCCCAGAGTAGAGGAGGGGAGAGAAACCAGGAATTCAACTGTGACCGAAATAGTCACTGAACTTGGCATTTCAGTATTTGAGAAACACAGTTTCCATCTGTCCATCCGTCTGTCCATCCAACCAGCCAGCCAGCCAGCCAGCAAGCCAGAATTTACTAAGCACCTGTTGAGTACCAAGCACTGTGGCAACATCCAGATAGTTCAGTGGCTAGTATTCCCTTCTTTGATCGGTATATAAATAACATTGTAACTTTCAGGTCAACTTTTGAGAACATAGTCTTATGAGGGATAGTACTTAATATTGTAAAATGGCTTATTTTAAGATACAAACAGATGGAAATCAATTTAAAAAGTATCTGCACTTCAGGATAAGTTGTTTTCCACTAGGGCATCACTAATTTTAATTTCTATTAAAGGACCAGTTCTTGCTAGTACATTTACGATTTTATGGTCAGACATATTTAAGTCAGCGCCACACAGGTAGGTGAAAACATCTAATTACTGACCCACTAGAGGTATAATCTATAGCCATAGAGATTTTACTTTATTATATATACTCTCTAAGCAAAAATTATTCATTGTTCTATTTTTTTGTAGACTGTAAAATGCCAATGGGACTAAGCACTGGTCTCATAGCTGATTCACAGATCAAGGCTTCTGAGTTTTGGGGTAAGTAGTAGCATCATAGCCTGTAAAAGGCACCTCCTACAATTGTGCTGTATACGGCCCACAAAACTGTACATGACAATGCTGCCTATTGAATCCATGGGCCATTGCTCCTCTCTAGGCTTTTCTCTACCACAACATAGTAAAACAGCAGTAAAATATCTAATTACTGACCCACTAGAGGTATAATCTCTAACTGGAAATTTTACTTTGTTATACGTATTTTCTAAGCAGAAATTACTCATTATTCTGTTTTGTAGAATGTAAGATGTCAAGGGAACTAACCCGTGAAATATTCTAGCCAGATTCACAGGGTCTTATAGGCCAGGTATTACAATCCCCATTATCAGAACCCTTTGCTGCATCAACCATGCATCTGTTCAAGAAACTTTTTGTTCACCCACTGTGCGTCAGGAACTCCTCCTAAGTTTCCTCTCTCTGCCTCAAACTCTTCCCAACATCAGAAGGTCAATTGTAAGGGATCATGAGGCTCCCATAAATTCCTCCCATGTCTTTCTGTTAGGCAGACACACTAGGCAGAAACCATATCAACATAACTGAGAAAAAATAAATGTGACCTATATGCAGTAAAGGGGGTGGGTGGTAGTTGACAGCTGTCCAAGCACAGGCCCGAAACCAAGATTTCATAATCAGGGACTGACTTAGTAGCTGAGGCCCGTGTCAACGACCTGGTCTCCTAATTGCAACAGAAGTTCCTTGAGGAATCTGGTTTCCCACTGGGACTAAACTCACTTGAGAAATTGCTAGCTGTATGTTTTTTGTTTTTTTTAAATTCAGAATAAATTATTTTCTTCCTTTGGATTTAGGTTATTGGGAACCCAAATTAGCAAGACTAAACAATGGTGGATCATATAATGCTTGGATCGCAGAAAAACTTTCAGTAGAATTTAACCCTAAACCTTGGATCCAGGTATATCTTATTAACCTGATATATTAACCTGATAATATTTACTGCTACTGTAATAGTAAAAACGTGGGGGTTTTTGTTTTTGTTTTTTGGCAGCACTACACGGCTTGTGGGATATTAGTTCCCTGACCAGGGATTGAACCCAGGCCCTCAGTAGTGCAAGTGCAGAGTCTTAACCACTGGCCTGCCAGGGGATTCCCTGTAATAATAAAAATGACAGTGATTTAATAATTTCTTCTTGTTGTTCTTGCAATGTTGTTAGGGGAAATGAAAATTACTAGGTGCTAGGCACCATTCTAAGTACTTTACATGCTCAAAATTAACCCTATGAGGTTATTTTTAGTAATATCCCACTTTACAGATAAAAAAAAACTAATGCACAGAGGGATTAACTAACTTCCCAATGTCACATACACTAGTGAGTGTTTGAGTTTGGATTCAAGTCAGGTACCCTGTGCTCAAATACAGATTGCCCCTAGCCATTTTATTAGTTTGCTAGGTGTTGGTTCTTTTTTTCTAAAGAAGGTTAGTTTTACAATGAATTAAGGCAGTGTGTGACTTGTTGACGAGGATGGTTCTGCTTAATGGCTTTTCTATATTGCAGGTAGACATGCAAAGGGAAGTCCTGTTGACAGGGATCCAGACCCAAGGTGCCAAACACTACCTGAAGTCTTACTACACCACCGAGTTCTTTGTGGCTTACAGCTCTGACCGGACCAACTGGCGGATCTTCAAAGGAAACAGCACTAGGAACGTGATGGTCTGTGTGCACTGTTGTTTCTTCCCGAGCCTAGGGTTACTATATCTTTTTTAAAAATACCTTTCTGGGTGTTATAAATACAAACGGCTTTCTTAGTGTCTTATGGAGGAAAGAGGTAAAATGACGTGTATATATGTATTACAAATTAAAAGGATAAGCTTGACTTCTGAAATTCCAAAACTCCATAAAACTTGAAAAAAAAAATCTCTTTATAATCAAACTAAATACCCAGACTTCTCAGATTGGCAGATGATAGGCAGTAGGGTAGAATATCTGGTCTTGTGCCTTAAAGAGCTCATGCTAAAAACTGGCCACTGAGAGTTTTGATTTTACTAACTCTTACATTTTATTTTGTTCTCTATTTCAGTGTAACTGAAGGAAATTATAGTGTTAATACCAGTAATGGTCTGAGGCAGTGTGATTCTCACATTTTCTTTTTGCTGCCATGCCTGAGGAGTGACTTTCCCCTGTTGGACTGTCCAGGGGCTCAGCCTGTTTATTCCCAATGACCCAATTATACCAGCCCTAATTCTTCCCCTTCTCCCTCACCCCCCTCTTCAAAGAAAGCTATCTGAATGCAAGGAGTCAGTCCACCATTATTACACTGATAACCATGAATCAGTTTCATTTTTTCTGTAAATCATTTACTATGTTACTATCTTCTGTGTTATCATTTAGCTATTTCTAATAATAAATTATTTGCACTATACCTTAGAATAGATCATGAAAATCTTAAATTATGGTTCTTAGCAATCTGTATTGGAGACAGTACACAAATTACAGTTAAAGTCCATAGCTTAAAGATTTTTGCATCTATGTTCATGAGGGATATTTGTTGGTAGTTTTATTTGTTTATACATTTTTTGTTTTAAAATCAGAGTAATACTAGCTTCATAAAATAAATTAGGTAGTGTGCTCTTCTATTCTGTTTTCTGGAAGAGATAATCTAGTATTGGTGTTAATTCTTTAAACATTTGGTATAATTCACCAGCAAAACCAGGTGGACCTGGAGATTTGTTTTCTGGGAATTTTAAAATTACAAATTCAATTTCTTTAAGTTACAGGCTCTTCAAATTACCTATTTCATATGGGGTGAATTTGGATAGTTTGTGTTTTTTCAGTCAATTGGTCCATTTCCTCTAAGTTGTTAAATTTATGTGTAAGAGTTGTTTGTAGTATTCTCTTATTATCCTTTTGATGTCTGCAGGGTCTGTAGTGATATTGCCTATTTCATTTATGATATTGGTAATTTGCATCTCTTCTCTTTTTGCTTTGTCAGTCTTGCTAGAGATTTGCCAATTTTTAAAGATCTTTTTGAATAACTGGCCCTTTGTTTCACTGCTGTTATCTATTGCTTTTCTGTTTTCAATATTCCTGATATCCACTCTTTTGTTTTAGTTGGCTCTTCCTGACACTGTTCTGGCAGGGAAATGGGATGGGGCACAGCCTCTTTACAGCCAGATAGAGGTCAAAGTCCATTCCCTACTTGGCCTCCTCTGTTGACACCGGAGCTGGGACCCCTCCTCTTTGCTGCAGGGGGGGGGGGATGGGATGGTATCCACTGACACTGCAGGAGTGGGAGCCTTATTAGAAGCTGGAAGAGATGAAGATCCTGGGTCTCTATTTGGCTTTCTCTGACACAACCCCAGTCAGGGTGTTGGGGTGCCTCCTTACAGTCTCATGAGCATGGAAGTCTAGGCTCCCCAGCTGGCCTTTGCTGCTGTGGGTAGGGAAGGGGCCACAGTGTTTTCTATTCTATGATGTTTGGCTTGAAGTAGAATAATTGTTATCTAAAAGTTTTCTGTCTTGTTAGACTGCTCTTTTCTGGTCCTGAGGCTAGAGAAAGAAGGCTTTTGCTGGCTTTTATTTTGTTTTTGGTCTGCACCTATTCGTGTTTCCTGGTCCCTGGCTTCTTTACTTATAAGTCTGTATATGTGGTAAAAAGAAAACCCAGGGGACTCACCACTGTGTTGTTCCTTGGGTCCTGAGAACCCTAGCCAGTCTGCCTTTTCTCCACCTTTCAGAGTCTTTTTATGTTTTCAGTTGTGCTTATACCATCTTCCTGAAGTGGAAATATTCCCAGGTATCTTTTAAGACCAAATTAATTTGATTCAGGCTACATGAAAACTTAATATTACAATATTAAATTGGATGAAAATTTTATTATAAAATCACCTTATAGAGAATTGTTATAATATAACTAAATTTTCCTCTCTTCCTCTAGTATTTTAATGGCAATTCGGATGCCTCTACAATAAAAGAGAATCAGTTTGACCCACCTGTTGTGGCTAGATATATTAGAATCTCTCCAACTAAATCCTATAACAAACCTGCCCTTCGATTGGAGCTGCAAGGTTGCGAGGTTAACGGTAAGGAACACAGATGCATTGTTTGCTAGCTGCCACTCAGAAAATCAAGATTTGGGGGGTATGGGAGAATGGGTAGAATTTTTAGTTCTCTTCACTTAGGCTCCTAGAAAAACCTTTGTGAAACAGAGGTTCCACTCAGGTAAACTCTCATTGTGATCTAGACTGAGACTGGTTCTGTCAGCCGGAGGGCAGGCTCTCTGAAGAACTCCTGGATCACATGGATACTGCCTTGACCCTCGAAAGAAGGGCCCTAGCGAAGAATGACCTCCATCAGCCCATTTTCAATAAGAACTGAGAGTCAAACTAGGTCTGACTCTTCCAAAGTCTTCCAGCCAGGTCACTCAGACTTTAATGTAATAAAAGTATCTAGCAACATTACTGGCATATATTAGGTGTTCAGTGAATGTTTTTGAAATATACATCTGCCTCCCAACTTCCTGAAACCTTCCTTGAACTCTGTATTCTGTTTCACACTCTATGTAGGTATCCAAGCCTTTTCTATGTAAGCTTCTATTTTTCAGGGGATGTAATGTGACTTGTGGTATAAATAAATCTAGATAATCATAAATGGCCATAATAAAATTCTACTCTATATAACAAGATGCTTAAGGATTTTATCAACTCTTCTTCTTCTCTGACTCTTAAAGTGGTGCTTTCCAAATTTTTTCACTTCAAAGCACATATAAAATATAATATCTGTCTCACAGTCTGGGGTAAAAGAATGAAGCAATCCACCCTGGGCTTGGCTGATCTAGGCACCACCTAGCTGCTCAAGGGCTGAGGGGGGAGGGAGATCAATATACAGTCACACCTGTCCAGCAAAAATATTCTTCAACAAGGAAGGCAAAATAAAGACATATTTATACAATATATATGTATATATGTATATGTATATGTGTATATATATATATACACACACACACACACACACACACACACAGGCACACCTAAAACTTGCTGTGGCACATCTGTTGAGGAGCTACAGTGCCTTCTCTCAGGGTAGAAGGAAGAAACCATGGCTTACAGTGGAGAAAGCTGAACCTTGGAATAAGTTTCTTATCAGCTGATAAGAAACTTGTAAGCAGATAACAGTACAATAAACTCTTGATATTCATGAGGGATATGGAAATGGGCATTTTGCCAATGTTCAGATAGCAATGCTATGTAACATCTTCCACATAAAATGCAAATTTGGGGGATTTCTCTGGCAGTCCAGTGGTTAAGACTTTGCCTTCCAACGCAGGGGGTGCATGTTCGATCCCTGGTGGGGAGTTAAGATCCCACATGCCTCATGGCCAAAGAACCGAAACATTAAACAGAAGCAGTATTGTAACAATTCAGTAAAGACTTTAAAAATGGTCCACATCAGAAAAAAATTGCAAATTTTGATCAGGCAGGAAAACCTGAAACAGCTCTATAAGTCATTATCGTTTTTCTTTCCATATGGTATGCAATGTAATGGTAGTTTGTTCAGGTCATAGAGTCAAGCTACCCTAAAATGTGACATTCAACAATGTTAGTCTATTTAAAACCTCTATTTTCTATACAAGAAGTATTACTTTTTAAGATCTCTTCACTTTCTTGATGTTTATATAATTAGTATTAGCAGTAAGCTTTCTTCTTTGAAGCCTTTTTTTTCATGAAGAAAGTAAGGTATCACTTCAAGAAAACGTCTGCATGATTTGCTAGCAAGAACAAAGTGTCACAAAGAAGATGATGATGGGCAGTCATCTGGGCTCACTCACTAGATATGTTTCTTACACTCACGGATCAGCTTTGTTGCCTGTGACATTCAAATTTATGCCTTGGCAAAATTCTAAAGGGGGTATCACATGAAGCACCCTCAAAGGGTTGGAAATAAAATATTAAATGTGACTACTAAGGTCCCCTATAACTTCTTCTTTGTAGCTTTTGTTAGAAGAAATAGAGTATGTTTTTATATACATAGATACTTTAGGAGTATTGTCTACCTCAAAGCAAAGAACAAAGGTTCCATGACTCACTGAAGGAGGGAAATGACATCAAATGGTATTTGATGTCAGGCTTCCTGGGCTCAAAGCTAGTTTCTGATTCTTCTAGCAGTATTATTTTAGCCAAGTTACTTTTTCTTGCTGTGCTTTTGTTTTCTCGTTCGTAAAATGGAGATATTTAAGAGCATTAAGTAATACGTGTGAAGCCTAAAAACAGGGTTTAGCACTTGGACAATAAATGTTCATTGCTGTGATGGTTGTTTTTGTCATTACTTAGCAGTAATATTATTTCTTGTCTCCTCTGAAGTGCAAAATGCCATGCAAGGAATATCAGTGGTATATAATTAATCACATTACTTTTTTCTTGACAGGATGCTCTACACCGCTGGGTATGGAAAGTGGAAAGATAGAAAACAAGCAAATCACAGCTTCCTCAATTAAAAACTCTTGGTGGGGAGATTACTGGGAACCCTTCATTGCCCGTCTTAATGCCCAGGGCCGTGTGAATGCCTGGCAAGCCAAGGTGAAATGTCCCCTGCAAAGGGAATTCTCTCAGCCTTTCAGAAGAAAGCATAGACCCTCACTACAGGGAACATGGGGGCCCCGGGAAGCCAGAGTATCATCTCCTGCTTCTGCAGATTATGGTCCTAGGTCTGAGAACTAGGCTGTGTGCTGTCTTGATAGCTTTAGCTCGAACTTTGGCTCGGAGAGAAGTTATTATCTCTGTGGTCTTGATTTAGACTAGGGGTGGGCAAAATTTTTCTGCAAAGGGCCAGATAATATTTTAGCCTTTGTGAGACATACATTCTCTGTCATAACTACTCAACTCTGCCACTGTTGCAGGGAAGCAGTCGTCAACAATATGTAAATGCATGAACATGACTGTGTTCCAATAAAACCTTATTTACAAAAGCAGGCAGTAGGCCAGGTTTGGCCTCGGGCTGTAGTTTGCCAACTCCTGAGCGAGACAACTTCCATTAGGGATAAATGACTTAGATTTGCAACATCTTGTCTTCTTTTTGTTCTCTCCAGAATTTAGCAATATTATTCATTTTCTTAAGAGTGTCATTTAAATTGTTTTGTTCTCATTTTTTCAGAACTTTGTAACATTCCTTTTGATAATTGGCAGCCTGATAAGATGCTGCAAAACCAGGTTTATAAATATGTGATCTAAGTTTTGTAAACATCTCGCAGAGAGTTATATTGCCCTTGATATTAGCCCATTGAGTAATTAAGGTAACTTTTAGTTCTAGGGTAACTATTAATAATTGACTCATATTTATTTCATTCTTCGACTGACCTGTAAAATCTGAATGGCATCAGAAATCAGAACAGTCCAGTCAATCAACTTAATCCAGGTTCCCTGTTTTCTGTCCTCCTAACTCCCTCCCTTAAGGAAGCTACACTCCAATTCCCTGGACTCTGTATAGAATCCCACATCCTAATCTTAAATCAAGCCACCAGATAAAAGAGGAGGGAATGGTGTGATGCAAGGGGAGCAAATAGAAGAGACTATCTGGGCCCAATACAGAGAGTCTTGGGCAACTATGTCTGTGCCTTGAGACTCATTTCTGGATCATCACAGAATCACAGAATGTTAGAAAGGCAAAGGGTTTTACAAAGCATCTGGTTCAGATTTTCCTTTTAAGTCCAAACGCAAAAGAGGTTAAATAATTTTAGCGTAGCCTGGTGGCGGAATCAGGAATCCCACTCTCCCGATAGACAGATCTATGCTCCTTGCACCATTTGAAGCAACCCAAGCACCTCATTTTGCAATTTTGCAAAGGGGGGAACTGAGACCCACAGAAGTTAAAGTAATAAAAGTAATAATGTTGTGTAACATTATATTGATTTAATTTCTATAATATAAATAAAATAAAATAAATATAACTAAAATAAAGGGACTTCCCTGGCATTCCAGTGGTTAGGACTCCGCTTCCACTGACAGTGGCCTGGGTTTGATCCCTGGTGGGGGAACTAAGATCTTCAAGCCATGCAGCACGGCCCAAAAAAAAAAGTTAGAGAGAGGGTATCAACCAATTCTTTCCCAGATGTCCCTTTAGACCTGTTCATGGTGTAACCTTGTCATCCCACCCTCCATTTTACAGCCTTTAAAAAAATTTTGCCCTCTATATAATTTACTCTTAGTTTTGTGATATAGTAAAGGCTGCAAAGATAAAAGTCTAATTTTAATTTTTAAAGCTGTCATTTTAAATCTGGAATTTTAGGTCAAAACTATTTGTTTCACTTAACCTTCAATAGTATGAAATGTCATGTACAGGGTTTCTTTAGAGAGGTGGAAAATCTAAGCCAGACATATGCAGGTATGCATGCAGACTGAAGTGTCTCTACCTCTTTGATGCCTCCAAAAAAAATGTACACCTACAAAGCTCCCCTAGCTATCTATATGCATTCTGTATCGCTCGTACAACCTTGATTTGAAGACACACTAAAACACCACCAGATGTCACTAGAGGGTGTTACAAAATTAACCAAAATTATCTAATACAATCATTTTAATTCAATTAATTTGCTTAAAAAATACAATAACATGTGACTACACATATACGTACACATGTGACTACACACATATATACATATGTGACTACACATATACATACATATGTGTATACACATATATACATACAGACATGCACATATGAGTGATGTTGAGAAAATATATCAATATTCATTATTTCATATAGAATTGAATGAGACTATGGGGCATGATAAACCTCCCAAAGATGAAAATTAATCTCAGATTACTCTAAAACTCAATTAGTCTTTCTGATTCTCTTTCTCCAAGCGCCTATCATCAAATAAGGCATTTTGTTAGGCCAGAGACAGGACAACTACTATGCCATATCCAGCCCTGGGTGTAGCTTTATTAGGTCTCTCAGATATTACATTTATTTGAAATATCAGAAAAGAAGAAATTGGACTACTTCTCCTATTGGACATTAGCAATGGAAAGAAAATTGGGGCTTTTCTAAAATAAGTTAAATTGGGAGAGGATACTATCTAATTCTTTCTCAGATAACTCTTCAGTAATATCACCATAGCATTTAAATAAACTTGCTTAAGAGAAAAATATTTACAGGTAATTTAGCAATTTAATACTTTTTCTCAAATAAAATGTATTTATTTGTTGAGCACCATCTGTGTGCCATACATCGTGGTGAACACCTGAAAACAAAACTAAGTCCCTGCCCTCAAAGGGTAAGGAACACAAGTAAACACATAACTGTTGTACAATGTGTGAAATATTCCAAAAGTTTATAAACCTGCTGACAATAAACAAGAAGGAACAGGGAAGGATTCTAGGAGAAAGGGAATCCTCAGTGCATGCAGCTCAGTGCATTTCTAAGTATCTTGGTCTAAAAAAGCAAAGGTTTTAATGTCAAATGCATTGTTCTAATCATTTTCATAGGCAAACAACAACAATCAGTGGTTACAAATTGATCTGCTCAAAATCAAGAAGATAACAGCGATTGTAACACAGGGTTGCAAGTCTCTGTCCTCTGAAATGTATGTGAAGAGCTACACCATCCAGTACAGTGACCAGGGAGTCAAATGGAAACCTTACAGAGAGAAATCCTCGTTGGTGGACAAGGTACAGGGGTATCTTGGCAAAAAGAAAACAATTTGAAAACTGCTATGATGAGAACAGAACCTCAAATTTGCAAATAGTTCTTTGTATTTGATAAGCGTGCTCTGACATGCGTCACTCTTTAAGTCTTCTAAGTCCTAGCTCTGTAAGTAGCTGGTCTTGGGACAGGGACCATGCACACTGTCTTTCTGCTTTGACTGAGCCACCTATAAAAGAATGAGGACAAAACAGCAGCGGGTGGTGTGAAGTTTAATTAGCTCTGATTGAGAAAGATGGTGAAAGGGTTGTCTCAGCCTGCTTGGACTGTATAACAAATTACCATAGACTGGGTGACAAACAAAAAACACGTATTTCTCACAGTTCTGGAGGCTAGAATCCTAGATCAGGGTGCCAGCATGGTTGGGTTTTTAGTGAGGGCAGTCTTCCTGGTTGTGCTTTCGTATGGCCTCCCTTGGTGCGTGCACACACAGAGATGCCATGAGGGCCCTACCCCCATCCTAGCCCTAATCATCTCCCAAAGGACCCACCTCCTCCTATCATCCCATTGAGGATTAGGGTTTGAACATATGAATTTTGGAAGGATACAAACATACAGTCTGTAACAGGGGTCTAGAAAACCTTCTACCATATTAACATTAGCTTGGATGTACTTGTTATTCATGGCTGATCACATACATACCCATGGCCATATACCTTTCAGTGTCATATTGTTATTCAAACAATTGTTATCCTTCCTGATGAGGAGACTAATTTCCTGCAAGATGAACTATTCCATTATACTCCTAAATTCCTAGTTATACGGTTTTAAAATACTACCAGAGGCAAAGCTAAGGAGAGGAACCTAATATTCCAGGAATGGGAATTGGGCTGAAACCAGCAGGAGGGACAACACAGGAGAAGGGGATGGAAATTTATGCTCATCACGGGCTCAGCACTTAATCTCAGTTAATGGATTTGAATCTCTTTCTCTCTAAACCCCTGGGTTGTTTATTTGTTAGGTTTGGTTTGGTTTATTTCTCACTGTATCAAGATATCCTCATAGTAGGGCAAAACTCATTTTTATAAACAAATAGTGACTTAGCTTCTGATGTGTGTAAATCTTGGGGAACTTGCTGGGGATGACAGAAACACACCTAAAACACAGTTCAGTTCATGATATAGGGCATATGACAAAAAGGATAAATAAAAATACATGATGTATTTTATTTTAAAAGTTAGTAATAGCTAACCATTTATTGGTGCCCATTATCTGGCACTTAATAAATGTCGTATGTTTACATACTCTTTAAAATCTTTACAACAACTTCTATGAGGTAAAATTTATTATCCCCATTTTGCCAATAAGGAAATGGATAATCAGAGACTACAAGTAATTTGCTCAAAGTCACATAGCTACAAAGGGGCTAAAGGCAGATATGCTTTTGCGGCTGCCCCACAGCACCATATCAGATTTATTTTTCCCTGTTCCAACTCAGATCACTGATGAGGTGATATCACTAAAGAGGTATGTCTGGAGTGTGAGTTCATAACTGATTGAGGATCACCTTTGTGATAATGTTGTATGTGTTCATTAATGCCCACAGTTTGAACTAAAAGGATAAAAAATTATAAGTTTTTCAAATTGAAATACAGTTGGTATACAATATTATGTTACTTTCAGGTATAAGATTTTTATACCCATTATGCCATCCTTAAAGATTTTCTCATATTTTGCTTTCAGATTTTCGAAGGAAATAATAATATCAAAGGACACGCGAAGAACTTTTTCAACCCACCAATCATTTCCAGGTTTATACGCGTCATTCCTAAAACATGGAATCAAAACATTGCACTTCGCCTGGAACTCTTTGGCTGTGATATTTAATAGAATTGATTATTCTAAAAGATAGGAGGGACTCAACGATATCAAACCATTTAGGGTGGACAATGTATTTTAGAGCTATTTTAAATATTAAAATTTTTCCACTATTTCTCTTTTTTCTATTAGAGAATAAAATTTTATATGTGAAACCTTTATAACTTCTTATAACCACTAAGTAAGATGATGACTATTATCTCTGCATTAATTTGAGTATAGATGGGAAAATATCAAGAACCAACAAGAAAAGGCTTATCTTTCACTGATTAAAAATGCTATATAAAGTAATATTCATGTAGTTAACATTCTTCATTATAGTTCTCAAACCCTAAACACATTAATAAAAGAGATATTACTCTTTTAAACCATTTATAAGCCCAGATAACTTTCATTCCTATATTTTTCTTTAAAAATACTATGAATTAAGAGTATAGGAAACAAACAGTATTTCTCAATGGTTTGTTTTTCTTGACAGTGGAGAGAAAAAGTCTTACTATATGAAACAACACGTGCTTAAAATACCCTATCTTACTGACACGATAATGACTTTTCTGACCCTCCACGAGTAAAGATACAAGTAAGCATGTTTTCAGTGGTCCCGCTGGACTTGTGAATCTGGCCTGGTCTCCCTTGGGACTGATTGCATATATTGATGTTCAGGGTTAGGGATCATTAATAGAACCAGATCTAAAATAACCATGGGATGGCTGAACATGTAACCTTGGCTTCATTCTAGCTGGTAGTACATGGCACACTGTTTCAAAACACAGGCTCACCTACAGGAAAGTGAATACCTATAATAAAGAGCGTTGGAACCCTTGGCCCAAATGCGGCTATTCTTGCTAGAACTGGCCCCTGGCCAAAGTGGCAAACAGTTGAAATTCTCTCTCAGTGCCTTTCTCTTTATGGCCCCAGCCTCCACCTCTCCCTTCCCCTTTCAAGCACTCCCTTCCCTGGGAACTTGGCATCTAATAATTTTACAGACATTGTGAGACTGAGAAGCCTTCTGGTATCCTCTGAGTCACATGGGAGAGACTCATTGGTGACGCTATCTATTTTAGTGGAACAAACCACCCCAAAACTTAGTGCTTAAAACAGCCACCAATTTATTATTTCTCATGAGTCTGTAGGTTGACTGGGCACAGCTGGGTGGTTTTACTGCTGGCTTCATTTGGGGTCTCTAGGGAGTTTACAGTTAGACAGTGACTGTAGCCAGAGTCATCAGGAGGCTCAACTGACTGTTGGGAAAGCTGGTCCTCTGTCCCTCTCCTAGTAGTTTCAGATTCTCTCCTCATTGCATGGCTTCTTCACGTGGTCTGTTCACCTGGTGTCTCCAACAAGTGATCTAGACTTCTTATAGGGTGATACAGGCTCCCAAAAGCAAGTGTGTTCAAGAGGTAGGAAGCAGAAGCTGCCAGCCCTTTTTTTTTTTTTAATAGATCTTTATTGGAGTATAATTGCTTCACAATACTGTGTTAGTTTCTGTTGCACAACAAAGCGAATCAGCCATATGCATACACATGTCCCCATATCCCCTCCCTCTTGAGCTTCCCTCCCATTCTCCCTATCCCATCCCTCTGGGTCATCGCAAAGCACCGAGCCGATCTCCCTGTGCTATGCTGCTGCTTCCCACCAGCCAACTGTTTTACATTCAGTAGTGCGTGTATGTCGATGCTACTCGCACTTCGCCTCAGCTTCACCCTCCCACCCCATGTCCTCAAGTCCATTTTCTATGTCTATGTTTTTATTCCTGCCCTGCAACTAGGTTCATCAGTACCATTTTATTTTTTAGATTAGATATATGTGTGTTAGCATACGGTATTTATTTTTCTCTTTCTGACTTATTTCACTCTGTATGACAGTCTCTAGGTCCATCCACCTCACTACAAATAACTCAATTTCGTTTCTTTTTCTGGCTGAGTAATATGCCATTGTATATACGTGCCATATCTTCTTTATCCATTCATCTGTCGATGGACATGTAGGTTGCTTCCATGTCCTGGTTATTGTAAATAGTGTTGCAATGAACATTGTGGTACATATCTCTTTTTGAATTATGGTTTTCTCAGGGAATATGCCCAGTAGTGGGATTGCTAGGTCATATGGTAGTTCTATTTTTAGTATTTTAAGGAACCTCCATACTGTTTTTCATAGAGGTTGTATCAATTTACATTCCCATTAACACTGCAAGAGGGTGTCCTTTTCACCATACCCTTTCCAGCATTTATTGTTTCTAGATTTGTTGATAATTGCCATTCTGACCAGCGTGAGGTGATATCTCATTGTAGTTTTGATTTGCATTTCTCTAATAATTAGTGATGTTGAGCATATTTTCATGTGCCTCTTGGCCATCTGTATATCATCCTTGGTGAAATGTCTAAGTCTTCAGCCCATTTTTTAACTGGATTGTTTGTTTTCTTGATATTGAGCTCCATGAGCTGTTTGTATATTTTGGAGATTAATACGTTGTCCATTGTTTCATTTGCAAATATCTTCTCCCATTCTGAGAGTTGTCTTTTTGTTGTCTTGTTTACGGTTTCCTTTGCTGTGAAAATGCTTTTAAGTCCCATTTGTTTATTTTAGTTTTCGTTTCCATTATTCTAGGAGGTGGGTCAAAAAAGATCTTGCTGTGGTTTACGTCAAAGAGTGTTTTTCCTATGTTTTCCTCTAAGAGTTTTATAATGTCTGGTCTTACATTTAAGTCTTTAATCCATCTGGAGTTTATTTTTGTGTATGGTGTTAGGTAGTGTTCTAATTTCATTCTTTTACATGCAACTGTCCAGTTTTCCCAGCACCACTTAATGAAGAGGCTGTCTTTTCTCCATTGTATGTTCCTGCCTCCTTTGTCATAAATTAGGTGCCCATATGTGCGTGGGTTTATCTCTGGACATTCTATCCTGTACCATTGATCTATATTTCTGTTTTTGTGCCAGTAACATACTGTCTTGGTTACTGTAGCTTTGTGGTATAGTTTGAGGTTGGGGAGTCTGATTCCTCCAACTCCATTTTTCTTTCTCAAGATTGCTTTGGCTATTCGGGGTCTTTTGTGTTTCCATATGACTTGTAATTGTTTTTTTCTAATTCTAATTCTGTGAAGAATGCCATTGGTAGTTTGAAAGGGATTGCATTGAATCTGTAGATTGCTTTGGGTAGTATAGTCATTTTCACAATATTGATTCTTCCCAACCAAGAACATGGTATATTTCTCCATTGTTTATGTCATCTTTGATTTCTTTCATCAGTGTTTATGGTTTTCTGAGAACAAGTCTTTTGTCTCCTTAGGTTTATTCCTAGGTATTTTATTCTTTTTGTTGCAATGGTAAATGGGAGTGTTTCCTTAATTTCACTTTCAGAAATTTCATCATTAGTGTATAGGAATGCAAGAGATTTCTGTGCATTAATTTTGTATCCTACAACCTTACCAAATTCACTGATTAGTTCTAGTAGTTTTCTGGTGGCATCTTTAGGATTTTCTATGTATAGTAACATGTCATTGGCAAACAGTGACAGTTTTGCTTCTTTTCCAATTTGTATTCCTTTTACTTCTTTTTCTTCTCGGATTGTTGTGGCTAGGATTTCCAAAACTATGTTGAAAAAGAGGGTGAGAGTCTTGTTCCTGATCTTAGCAGAAATGCTTTCAGTTTTTCACCATTGAGTATGATGCTTGCTGTGGGTTTGTCATATATGACCTTTATTATGTTGAGGTAGGTTCCCTCTATGCCCATTTTCTGGAGAGTTTTTTTTATCATAAAAGGGTGTTGAATTTTGTCAGAAGCTTTTTCTGCATCTATTGAGATGATCATATGGTTTTTATTCCTTAATTTGTTAATGTGGTGTATCACACTGATTGATTTGCATATATTGAAGAATGCTTGCATCCCTGGGATAAATCCCACTTGATCATGGTGTATGATCCTTTTAATCATACACATCATGGTGTATGATTGGATTCTGTTTGCTAGTATTTAGTTCAGGATTTTTGCATCTATGTTCATCAGTGATATTGGCCTATAATTTTCTTTTTCTGTGATATCTTTTGTGGTTTTGGTATCAGGGTGATGGTGGCTTCATAGAATGAATTTGGGAGTGTTTCTTCCCCTGCAATTTATTGGACGAGTTTGAGAAGGATTGGTGTTAGCTCTTCTCTAGTTGTTTGATAGAATTTGCCTGTGAAGCCATCTGGTCCTGGACTTTAGTTTGGTGGAAGATTTTTAATTATGGTTTCAATTTCATTACTTGTGTTAGGTCTGTTTATATTTTCTAATTCTTCCTGGTTCACTCTTGGAAAATTGTACCTTTCCAAGGATTTGTCCATTTCTTTGTGGTTGTCCATTTTATTGGCATAGAGCTGCTTGCAGTAGTCTCTTAGGATGCTTTGTATTTCTGTGGTGTCTGCTGTAACTTCTTCTTTTTCATTTCTAATTTTATTGATTTGTGTCCTCTCCCTTTTTTTCTTGATGAGTCTGGCTAAGGGTTTATCAATTTTGTTTATTTTCCCAAAGAACCAGCTTTTAGTTTTATTGATCTTTGCTATTGATTTCTTCATTTGTATTTCATTTATTTCTGCTCTGATCTTTATGATTTCTTTCCTTCTACTGACTTTAGGTTTTGTTTGTTCTTCTTTCTCTAGTTGTTTTTTGTTTGTTTGTTTGTTTTTTCATTATGCGGGCCTCTCCGATTGCGGAGCACAGGCACCGGAAGCGCAGGCTCAGCGGCCATGGCTCACGGGCCCAGCCGCTCCGCGGCATGTGGGATCTTCCCAGACCGGGGCACAAACCCGTGTCCCCTGCATCAGCAGGTGGACTCTCAACCACTGCGCCACCAGGGAAGCCCTCTCTAGTTGTTTTAAGTGCAGCATTAGATTGTTTATTTGATATTTTTCTTGTTTCTTAAGGTGAGCCTGAATTGCTATAAACTTCCCTCTTAGAACTGCTTTTGCTGCGTCCCATAGGTTTTGGGTTGTCGTGTTTTCGTTGTCATTTGTTTCTATGTATTTTTCTTCTTTGATTTCTTCAGTGATCTCTTGGTTATTTAGTAGCTCTCTTTAGCCTCCATGTATTTGTGTTTTTTACAGTTCTTTTTTCCTGTAATTGCTTTCCAATCTCATAGCACTGTGGTCAGAAAAGATGCTTGATACGATTTCAATTTTCTTAAAT